TAAACCAAACCGAGCGAGGTCGAGCGAGGCCTGCAGTGGAAACGCGCCATTAGTAACAATCGTTCGTCGCTCTGGAAACAACAACTTCGGTCATTTCCGGCGGTGACGTCATGAGTAGAACACAGCTGAGCAGAACACAGCTGAGTCACCATTGTTTAAATGCCTTGAAGCGGCAAATATTAAAACAAAGGATGCACAACAACAAAACGCGAAGAATAATCGGCAAGCGATGTGTGGTATGGGGATGTGGGGCCGTCTCCAAATCTGGCTATGGGATGTTTTTGTGGCCAAAAAATTGTCAAATGTCGCGTATATGGACCAAACAAGTGCGTCGTACGAGGGCGGACTTTGCTGGACTTGATTGATTGATTGAAAAGTGTATTAACAGCTTGTATATTGGGTACAGTACAGCTCAAAACATACAATTGTTAAGGGGATGCAGACCAGAGAAAGACTTTCGTCTTGTTTACATCAGGGTCCCCCATTTCCAATTCATCATATAACCAGGTAACCCGGGGTCGATGAAACCTACAATTTGTGGGCAGCACTTGGAAAGATCGTGTTTCGACCAGTCCACAATGCTCGCTAAGGAAATTGGATTAAAAAAGAATTTCAAACTGAACAAAGATGCTGTTCCAACAATACTGCCAAGACCCCAAATGCCAGCACAAGCCACCACGCCGATTCCTACATGTCCCCCGATGCAGAGTCCTCCACTAAAGAGACGGCGAAATGCATTCTCCAAAAGGGAGAGAGCGAAGGTAAGCCGCGCTACTTGTTGTTCAATGTTTACAAGCATAAAGCCTGACTCAAAATGACATGTAAAAAAAAAGTTTCTGACTTGGCTCGTTGTCAGCCGGTGACCAGCTGCCCAGACATTTCGCGGGGGAAAATGATGAAAACGGGGCTTCGGGTGCCGTGGGAAGAACCTCCGTGTATTCACGTTCTTCACAGTAATCAGTTACATTGACACTGTATTGCATAGGCCTACAGACCAGCGCCATATAGATAGAATACAGACTACGGAGCTATTGATTGGTTGTCAATCTTATGTTTTTGAAAGTAGGCTAATACATTAACTGAAGGGGCTGGGCCGGGAGAGAGCAGGCCCGCGTCAGAGGTCCACCCAAAACCGTCATGAAAAAGTTTAGCATTCTAATGCATCTAACTTTATGCACAATATAATAGTCTGGCCAGCCCTGCAGCCCGTTCTAGGTTCTGATTGGCTCTCTAGGTTGGCATTCTAGCTTCTGACTGGCTGTCCAGGTTGTCAATCACAGCCGTGGGCATATTATATTTACGACTAGTAATTCTCTATGAATTAAAGTCAAATGTATATAGCCTACCAGTCTGTGTTTTGTTGCCGCACCGGATCTCCGCCAAATCCAGGATCATCGTCCCCATTTTCGCTCCCGTCTGTATCTCTACCGCTACTTGAATACTGTGGCTCAAACTGGTATGGTTCCACCACGTTAGACTCCACACCGGCATCCTCTTCAATAAAATCCTCCTCTTCTTGAAAGTGCACCGAGTCTATTGACGACTCATTGTCACTCGATTCTGTCGAAATATCCGAGCCAGAGTCCGACATCAGCCATATAGTAAGTGTATTATTCAAAAAGGGTTCTACTCGTGACGTGCGTGACGTAACTAACCGGCGAAAGCCGTTTGGTCCGGAGCGGTCGTGTAACATCGGAAGCGAGCATGGAAAGTTGTAATAAATCACGATTTATAAATACAGCGGGCATATTGTCATCAATGACAAATGATTTCCCATTAATAATAGTATTTATTATCCTAATAAGAATAGTGTTGTCCTTCATTTCGTAAGCTCTTTAACATGTAGCACAGTATTGTATAATACAGTAACGTATAAACAGTGTTCACTCTTCTTAACCTCACTTTCTACCTTCCTCACCCTGTTTCCACCCTCCTCCCCCCCACTGTCCTTTATACCCTAGGTATCCACCCTTTTCACCCTTAGTTTCATCTTCACCCTGACTGTCTTCACTCCTGTCCTGTCCCTCACTTTCTACCCTCTTCACCCTCACCCTCACTGTCTATCCTCTGTCCACCCACATCACCCTATCTGTCTGCCCTCCACACACCACTGTGCACCTCACACATAGTGCTCCTCACCGCCCCCCCTCCTCACCCTCAGTGTATTCCTCGCCCTGCTCCCCGCCACTCACCCCTGCAGTGGGAGCTTCCAGTCAGCAGCAACAGCAGCCAGCAGACCTCCAGCAGCAGCATCATCTTCTTCTTCTTCTTCTTCTTCTTCTTCTTCTTCTTCTTTTAAATGTCACCGGGCAGCTCTGTCCTCCTCCTTCCTAGTCCTCAGCTTCTGCTTCTTCTTGTTATAATTATTATTATTATTATTGTATTTCACCCTGTTTTCTTCCAGTCGTTTCCCCCCGCAGAGCCTCATGCTAAACACCCCGGAGTGCTTTTCTTCCTCGGCCGGTCCATTAAGCTAACACTAGGATTTTAAATGTCTCGCTCCCGCCAGTCTTTGAGTTGTTTAACCCGTACTTTAACACACTGAGTGTGAGTCTCAATGTTTCCTCTGTGAAGCCGACAAGACTGTTTCGGTAAAGTATGTCCTCACCGTGTGGAGCACATATTTCACTAGACTGGAATCTCAAACAAGTTAACGGAAATATTCACCACTTCCTGTGACGTACTTCAAAATAAGAGTCTCAATCAAATAACAACAATGTACTGACAAAACTAAGAGTCTGAACAGTGTTGGAAGAATCACTCAGATCCTTTGCTTAAGTAAAAGTACAATTATTATTGTCTTAACATACCCAATCAGAGGTAAAGTCCTGATTTCAAAATACTACTTTAGTAAAAGTACAAAAGTATAAGCATTAAAATATACTTTAAGTACAAATTGTGCAGCTAAGTGTACTTCAAATATCAAAAGCATAATAAGTGGCTCTTTTTACAGTATCATATTATTATGTGTATTATGTTATCCTGTTTTCAATACATGTAAGAGCATTTCAGTATAGAATCTGGTCAATGTGGCCACATAGATACTTGAAATACTGTGTAGAATAATAGACTGATTATTTTGGACGTTAAAAAAATAGCACAAGGCAAAACAAATTCAGGAAACTGTAGTTATTGAAAGTATAAAAATGTCCCATGTGACTATTATAATATAATATTAATAAATATTGTTATGATTTGAACTGATTGATCATTTGTTTTGTAAAAAGTAAAAATAATTAGCATGCATTCACAATTACTCAGAGCTGAAAGGACACCTTCTAATTTGTGATTGAGTCCAACCAATCATTTGCACATTCATATTGTTACTTATGCATAATATTATTTTATGATTGTTGTATGTTTTGCATGCAGAAACCTTGATTTGTAAAGTAACAAGAGCTGTCAGATAAATGAACTGCAGATGTAAAAAGCTGCATTAAAAACTCAAGTAATGTACAAGTGCCTTTAATGTCTTCTGAAGTGTTTAGAGTAAACTGTATAATGGCTATAAAACTGTTAGCAAAATGTATATAATAATTATTTTAGTGTTAGGTGAGTTTTTCTGAAGACTTTAATCTTCATCTGCATGTTCTACCAATTAACACATTATCAATTATATTTATAAGGGCAACCGACAAATATTATATGTACCAACAATAATAATGATAATAATAATAGTCATAAAGATAAATAATAATAACTAGTTTATAACACAGGAACTTTTCTTTTTGCCATAATAGTATTGTCAGAGCTTTTATTTTGAAGCCAAACTAATTACACCAGAAGTTATTGGCACTTTGTTTTTACTCACGTCACAAAAGTAATCTCCAGCTGGTGTATAAACGAGTTGAGAGGGGGGGGGACTCATACTGCGCATGCGCCATTCATCGGGCTGTACAGTGTAGCAATCCGAGCGCCCCCTTGTTCACATCATAATAACTTTATTGTGATGATCAAAAGGAAGGTGAAACTGTTCTGTTCAAAGGTCGACCTTGGATTATACATCCATGGCTTCACCCAAACAAAACCGGGAGGTCCCAACACTTTGATCAAACGCACCTAAAACTTTTCGAGCCATCAGCCAATCAAAGAGAAGAGTCAGTAATATATTAAATTGAATATGTATTTTCAAAGGGTGTATGGTTTGAACAGTACATTCACACCAATGTGAATATGCTTTTGGCAGAAAATATTATATTATATATATATATTGATACATGTGCTACGAAAAACAACAGTTCGAAAAAAGACACTGGAAATATATAATTTTTCAAATGAATTTTTTTATTTAATTGCTATGGCCTTTTTGGATTTTACTGCACCCCCAGGTATTTTTTTTACATTACTATTGTTTTAATTTGTCAGTACATGTGTGTATGTACTTGTGTAATGGTTTGTATGTACTGTACAATGTTATTCTAAGTGAATACAAACATTTAATTGTATTAAAAAAGACTGAAGAATCACATGAATTGAATGTGTGAAGATAAATGAAGTTTCTCTAACATTGAATGAAGATACTGTTTTTACAGAAGTGTTTTAAATAGGGAGGTTTTAGTGAAAATACATAGTTGTAAGTAGTGAGCATTAGATGGTTATAGACTTCAAGTATACTGCACTTGTTGAGAGTTCATAACTGGATGTTTTATTATAAATTAGTTTCTTTGTTGTTGAATGCAGTACTTATTCACTTAAGCACCAAATATGTTGTACATATTTTTGTTAATAGTATAATTGTATTTTCTTTGTTCTTTTCTAATCATTTATTTTTATTTTCACCTACAATGTTTGAAATATCAAACAATACACCAAAGCAAATTCGGTTTGTGAAAATCTACTTTTAATAACTCTTGATCCATTATTTATACATTTATAAATACATTTATGTATGCCATAGAATAAGGAAAATATTTATAATGTGTTGTATTATCCAAACAAGGTGCTTTTCAATAAAAGCTATCCTGAACCCAGCTAGCAAAACAAATCAATAACTCAAAATATAATTTGTACTTGAATTTCTCTTTATTTTTAAAGACTTCACACAAGGCAACTACAAACACATTGTTGGTTTTGTTGTGCAAATTGTCCCAACTGTCTATTCCAACAGTATAATTTAAGGTTCAGGTTTTTTTTTTAAGTATCAGGATTGTTTTGTTAACTTCTCTGGCTCATCTGCCGGTACAGTTGGATGGTCATGAGCTGAACTTCAGGATCTCCAGGTTGGATGTCGATAGCTCTGAGGAAGCAGCTCAATGCGTCATCAGGCTTGCCTTTGCTCTGGTACTCCTTCCCTCTCCTGACCAGGGCTTCGAAGCTCTCCTCCTCGGACAGGATGCCGTTACTGCTCAATTTGACTCCATCAGCCGTGCACTGATCCATTTGTTCGTCTGAGGCTAGCTCGGGCTCGCTGGTCGACTCCTCCATGTTGCTGGTCATTTCCTGTTCGGACTCCTCAACGTCATCTACTGACTCTGAGTACTCCTCATCATCCTCCTCCTCTCCTTGTACATCTGCCTCCTCTTCTTCCACATCCTCCTCACTCTCTGTGTCAAGGGTCTCCTCCACCTGAAGCGCATCATGAGTCGAACCAGTGAGGTCCTCTTCTGCTGCGTCATAATGCCTTTCTGAAACATCATCTTCTTCCTCCTCACTGGTAATTTCTTGGTTGTCTTTGATTTTCTCCATATCTTCGACGATGGATAGAATGAGGGATCGGTGTGAGGCCACGGAGGTGTTGCCTCCGACACTCTTTCTTGACCGAAAAGGAGTGCGGACAGATGACACCAATTTAGGTGTGGAGGCGCCAAGAACCTGAAAGGAATTGTCCAGGTGACTCTTGTCATCAACATCATCTTGATCACTGTCATCAATTACTGCTGCTCTTTTTTTCTTCTTAGTCACAATGGAGTTATCCATTGAATTGTCCATTACAGAGCTGTTGCCGTTGAAGCTTTGGTTGACTGCTTTATGTTGTTTCTCAGAAAGAGATTTATTTATGTTAAAGCTCCCCTCCATCTGCAGCTGTGACAGCAGCTTCCTCTCCTCTTCTTCAGTTTCCAGATTATCCAGTTCAACGTGGTCTGAAAGCATGTCGCTATCTTCAAGCTGTAAATTGAAGTTGCCTCCAAAGGAATCAAGCCCTGTGCTGACGTTGGTTGATGTGTCTGCTTTGAAGCTTGAAGTGGAAGCTTGCAAGACAGAAAGTCTTTTATTCTGCAGGGCTGTTAAATGTGAGAGGCCCAAGTCTGTCTTGGAATCGTTTGAGTGTGAGGTTTCGTTTGAAAGTTGTTTGTCTTCATCAACTGCTGTAAAATAGGCCATGCTGCCGTCACCTGCTGAATCATTAGCAGCCCCACACAGAGAAACCTCGTCTCTTAGTTTTGGATTGGAGGCATCTTCCATGTCACCCAATTCAGCATCACTGGTATCCGAGACCACCAGAGACTCTTCAATCACCTCCGGAGGGGAGGATTCATCGGCTACCAAGTAACTCCTCTCCTGATTAACAGATACGTGTTTTAGAGAATAAAGGTTCTGCTCAACAAGCTTGTCCTGGCTTACTTCTACGACAGGATGTTCCTCTGACATATCCTCATCTGAAGTAAGATCAACAACATGGCCACTCAGATTCTGTTGGCCGTCCTCCTCATCAGAGCCAGACTGGTCCAACTCTATCACGACTGGTGACCCGTTAGACTTACTATCATGCTGTGGATAGGAAGGACTTGGTTTTGGATTTCTTGGTTTTTTCTCATGAGTCCGCTCTCTGATGTGGTTGTCCGCTGGTTGTCTGAGCCAGGCTGGTTCTGTGTTTGATGCCATTATGTCTGCCATCTGCATTGTTAACTCTGACTCAGCCTTCATCAGCTCCTGGGCCTTCTGCACTCTCCCTTCAATGTAGTGATGGGCCTCTTGGTCTTCAGGGTCATCATCGTGGTTGACATCGAGGGAAAACATGAGGTCATGGTCAGAGATCCCAAATATCTCCATGGTGTGGAGATGGGCAATGTGTTCGTCCAGTTCAGCGTCTGTCCTTCGGTTTCCGGAGTGCAGGGATTGAAGTTGCAGCTGAGTCGATGAGGACCTTGTGTCCTCCAGGAGGAAGAGCTCTTTCAACTCCTGCTTGCTGAAGTACCTAAAAGGGTTTTTCTTGTCCCCGGTATTTTGTCTAATGAGAGAGTCTTTGAAGACCTGCCTTCTGTAGATCTTCTCCTCTACTGTGCCGCAGGTGATCAGTCTGTAGACGACAACATTTTTGTTCTGCCCAATGCGATGAGCCCTGTCAACAGCCTGGGCGTCTGTTGCTGGGTTCCAGCTAGGATCGTAGATCACGACTCGGTTTGCTGCCGTCAAAGTGATACCAACCCCTCCAACCTGGGTGGTCAGGAGGAAGACAGAGTAGCTTTTGTCTGTCTGGAACTTAGTGATTAGTCTCTCTCTCTCTGCAAGCTGAATTATTGTGCCATCCAATCTCAATACTTTAAAGCCTCTGTTGACCAGGATGCGCTCGATGATGTCGAGCACTTTCCTGTAATGAGCAAAGACAAGTGTGCGGTGACCTTCTTCTCTGAGCCTTTGGAGAAGTGCAAACAGAAAGACGAGCTTCCCTGACTCAGATATTAAGGTCTCGTCTGGAATGTTGGCGATGGTGCATGTGCCTGTCTCCATGTTATCATTCTGCTGACCTTGAGCTGTATTTTCTTCTAAGCCCAACTTGGCTATGGCTGCAGCAGAGAGCAGTCTTGGATGGTCGCACAACTTCTTCATTATGTTCAGTTCAGCTAGAGGTGATCTGGTTGTCATGAGCAGCTCCTTGATGTGGTCCAGTGAAAGGAACTGCCTGTAAATATCTTCCTGAACAGGACTAAGGTAAGTCCAGACAATTAAGTCGTTCTTTCTAGTCAGTGTTGGCATGACTGCGCCGGAGTCTTTTGGAGTATTTTGGACCTTGCCGTCCTTGGTCTCTGAATATTCCTCTTTACAGGGAAGTTGGCCTTTCTTATTGTTTTTCTGCAATTCTGCTTTTGTCCTGCGGAGGAAGTAGGGTTTGATTATGGCCATGAGGTTCTCAGACATTCGAGACCCGAGGGCCTTTTCCCCTGGAGTGGTGTCCTTTTCTCTGGCCCGGGTGATTGGGTTCTCATACTCCGTTTTGAATGTTTTAGCTGTGCCTAAGAGAGTCCCTTGGCAAGCAAAGTCAAAGAGAGCCCACAATTCCTTCAGGTTGTTTTGGACTGGAGTGCCAGTTAGGAGAACTCTGTTTTTTGAATGTATGGCGTGGGCACTTTTGGCTGTTTTGGTAGTTGAGGATTTTATCTTATGTGCCTCATCTAGGATCATGTAGTCCCATGTGAACTCTTTGCCATTGTAAGATGACAATTGCTGCCAGTTATTCATAAGCATGGAGTACGTGGTGATGATAACACCACTTCTCCTCTGAATTTTCTCCAAATTCCTGGTCCTCTCCTTGCTCGGTCCGTGAAACTCCTTCACCCTCATGCCAGGAGTCCATTTGGCAAACTCCTTGGTCCAGTTTGTGATGAGAGAAGTTGGCATGACCAGCAATGTGTGCTTGGCCAGCTCGTTGTCATACATGCTTGAGAGGAATGATATCACCTGGATGGTTTTACCAAGGCCCATGTCATCTGCCAAGATCCCACCTTTACGTCCATCTCTGCAGAGACTGTACAAGAAGGCGACTCCATTTCTTTGGTAGTCATAAAGCTTGTCATACAACTCTTTGAAAAGCATTAAGCCGCTGCCGTTAACATTCACAAACTCTTCATCTTCTTCCTCTGAGTCACTCTGAGCAAGAAGTTCTTCCATTTGCTTTATCCGGCTTTCAAGTTTTTGACTCTGGTGAATTTTGTACGCCAGTTTGAAAAACTTCAGCGCTTGGTTCATGTCGCCTTGTCTGGCAACATCTTTTCCCTCTTTAATGAATCTGGAAGAAAAAAGACAAGAACATCAGAGAATATTTAATTAAAAAATAAATGTAGTCTGAAGAAGAGCTGCCACTAAAGTATTTACAAATGTTAATCTCAATACCAGGGTATATGCAGGAATCCTGAAGTCAAATGTAATACCTTTTAAGACCTTTTTTAAGACCCTTTTCATACATTTTAAGACCTCATCGCCACTTTGAGTTTTAACCGGTTACATTGGCGACACACTTTACTATATACAGTATTGATTGTCCTTCCTCCTTATCTTCCAACCATTTGGACGCAAACTTGCATTTCCCCATAACGATGTTGTTGAACAACTAGCGTAAACGGACCTTCGCTCGCTATTAAGCAGTGAGTGTGCGATGCAGGCCCGGTTCGACGGGGGTGCATAAGGGTGCATTGCACCCTCAGTTGAGTCGTTATGCACCCTCATTTTAAAAATTAAAAGTGAAAAAAAAAATGTAAAAGTGAAAAATATTACATATATAATAATAATTATAGTAGTAATAATAAGAAGAAGAATTTAGTTGAAATAAAATTAATTGTAATTGTGGTTAAATAACATTGTCTGCTGCATTTATTTGGTCAATTTAAACGGTAAGTAACGTTATTATGTCAGGTGTGCGTGACCTGTGCCGCTGTGTGTTCATCATCTGCAAGGTGCTTACACAGCAGTCAATGATGGACATCAGAAAATTGTTAAAACAACCAGCCCTTATCGCCAGCAGTAACACTGCATCTACTGCAGGTAATAACAGTTCAGATCATGGGGAGATTACGTTACCTGCGGCCACTGTCGTGGACAATAACGCCCACGGAGGCGGAGCAGCCGTCTTCGTTGCCCCAAACACTGCCACCCCTCAGTGTCCCGCCTCGCCCAACAGAGGACCTCGGCAAAACAAAGCCTGCCCAGGTATATTTAAAAAAGTACCCAACTCGCCTGTACAGTGTGGTAAGGCGCTCATTTTGCAGCTCATGGTTTCAAAACACAGATTGGCTGGAATATTCATGTAAGTCAGATACCTTCACCACAACTGGCTACAACAACTGGCGCCATGCTCTTTTAGGCTACGTGATAAGGGACTGGGAAGGCATGAATCAAGCAAAGAGCACATAGATCCATAGATCTCTTCATTTTGCACTCAAAGTGCACCAGATTGATGCTTTTAACTTCAATATTTAAAAAAAATTCTTTCCAGGGGAGCATGCCCCCGGACCCCCCTAGAGGAGGTGAGGACCCTCCTAGAGAAGGTGAGGATGTTAGGTCCACTCCCCACTTATAAAAATAGCCTTTTACCACTGCACCCTCTCTAATCTCAGATGAGTCACTCAGGGGTAGGGTTAGGGTAATGTTGTGAATCGAGTGGCCCATGGTGGTGGTGGGGTTATGGTATGGGCAGGCATATGGTATCTACGACGAACACAAGCCACTCGATTCACAACATTACCCTAACCCTACCCCTCACACCAGATACTGACTGGTTTTCGGACCCCCCAATAAAGCAAAAATGCACGTTTCAGAGTGGCCTTTTATTGTGGCCAGCCTAAGGCACACCTGTGCAATAATCATGCTGTCTAATCAGCACCTTGATATGCCACACCTGTGAGGTGGGATGGATTATCTCGGCAAAGGAGAAGTGCTCACTATCACAGATTTTTTCAGATTTGTGAACAATATTTGAGAAATGGTTATTTTGTGTATATAGAAAATGTTTTAGATCTTTGAGTTCATCTCATGAAAAATGGGAGCAAAAACAAAAGTGTTGCGTTTATATTTTTGTTCAGTGTATAATAGCAGATATTTTTTAACAATGACTACAATATCATTATTTTAATAAACCAAATATGAACAATTGAGGAAAATGAGGAAGAACTGATTATTCAAATGTTGTAGTACAAGTAGTAATGTAGTTAGTGCATAAATTACTATTGCAACAAATGTGTTCATTTTCTTCATTATTAGTAAAAAAATTTGGACGAATGCCAGTGGTTACAATGGTGGGGCCGGTGATAATACAATTCCACCGGCCCGGAGGAAACAGAGTTACACATATTTCAAAACGCGAAGTGTAATAACTGCAGTGGCCTCTCTGTCAGAATGACAAAGATTCTCAGTGAAGCACAAGCCCATGTTTCTCACTACATTGTAATGAGTTGGTTATCTTTTTCCAGTAAGTTTTTAACTTTGTCTTTTATCCCCTAACCTTGCCTCGATTGGTACTCCTCCTGATACATTATTCTCAATTTCTTTCCTTCTAGCTCTGTAGTCTGGCTTGCACCAGCAGAACAAGCTTCTTAATTGGGCTGATATATAGTAGTCCTTCAAGCAGGGGAGCGCTACTCCTCCCTTGTTTTTTGCTAGTTGAAGAGTACAGAATCTAATCCTTGGTTTCTTCCCTTGCCAAATGTACCTTGATATGGTTTCATCCCATTCGTTAAACTGCTTGTCTGATTTCAATTGGTAGATTCTGGAAAAGGTATAAGAGTCTAGGTAGGATGTTCATTTTCACTGATTCTATTCGAGATTCAAAGCTCAGCACTGGGATCAAGATCCATCTATTTATGTCTTCTTTTATTTTCTGACTTAGAGGGTTGAAATTTTGTGTATACAATTCCTCTGAATCTTTAGAGATGCTTACTCTCAGATATTTTAAGTGGTTCAGATCCCAATTAAGATCAATGAATGAGTTTATATGTTGACTTGGCTTGTAATTAAAGCTCAATATTTGGGTTTTTGTTATATTGAGTTTGTACCCTGAGACAGCACTATAAGTATCCAAAAAAGTCAGTAAACTCAAGAATGATTAATCTGGGTTTGACAGGTATATTAATATATCATCAGCAAATAATGATAATGTATGTTCCTGACCATATACTTCTACACCGGTAATATTGTTATTTTGAGTAACCCCCAAACTCAGAGCTTCGATATAAATTGCGAATAACAGAGGGCTAATTGGACATCCCTGTCGTGTCCCTCTCTCATTTGTATTCTTGCATAAGGGTTGTCTTACAATGCTTGAACAGTATTAATAAAGATCTTGTGAAAGCCAAACTTTTCAAGAACTTGGTATAGGAATTTCCAATTAACTCGATCGAAGGCTTCTTCTGCATCGAGGCTCAAAAGTACTGCCTGGAGTTTGTTTTTGGATATATGTTCAACTATATGTAGAGTTCTGCGGATATTATCTTGAGTTTGCCGTTGTTTGATAAATCCTGTCTGATCTAGATTTATTATCTGAGCGAGAATTTCTTCGAGTCTTTTTGCCAAAATGTGGGTAAAGATCTTATAGTCTTGATTTAGCACATTTATTGGACGATAGCTTCCACAGTCACATTTGTCTTTCCCTTCCTTCGGTATCAGGGAGATTACTGCTTCCCTCCATGAGGGGGGGGGCTATGCCTGTCTGAAGCACGTGGATAAAAGCATCCCTCATTGTTGGGATCAGTAGATCCATCATTTCCCTGTACCATTCAGAAGGGAAACCATCTGGGCCTGCGGCTTTATTGGGTTTTAAGTAAGCGATTGCCTTTTCTACTTCTTTTCCCGTAATTTCTCTAATTAATTTATGATTTTGATCATCCTTCACTTTAGGAAAAGTTATCAAATTAAGGAAACTCCTGATGTTGGTTTATCTATTTTAGGCTGTGTGTATAGGTTTTTATAGAAACATATAGAAAGTTTGATGTATGTCTTTTAAATTACTAGAGATGTCCCGATCCGATCACGTGATCGGGGATCATAGCCGATCACGTGATTTTCAAAAGATCGGATTCGGGAGAAAAAGATCGGGGATCGGAAACATTTACCTAACCCTTTTATAAAATATTTTTATTATTTTTATTTAATGTTACAAAACAAAAATGACCATGTTCACGTCTTAAAGTCATCCTGAGGCCTTAGTTTTGGTTACAAATTACACAACATGTATGTGTTGCTTCTTTTCATAGACCTGGTTGTTTATTTCTCTCAAATCTGGCAACAGAGTGGGCGGGGCGCAGTGTCTAATAGTAGCAGTAAGCTAACGAGAGGCTACGTTCAGCTGGTGACTCGGGAGTCGGTGTTAGAGTTTATTGAAGGATAAATGTGTTTTCATAAATGTGTTATCATAAATATGTTGTAAAGAGACTAGTCAGAAAAGAGGAACAGAGAATAGTCTGTTCCTCTTTTCTGTGGACCATACACACACACACACACACACACACACACACACACAAACACATGATTGAGAGTCACAAGACTCCCATTGACAAATAAGGCGTTGGTCACAACCACTTCCTCATGCATGATTTGAAACTGTTTGTTGAAATAAAAAGAATGTGCCAGGAGAAGGCGAGCAGAGTTGGTTATGGAGTTGACATGACCTGTCACTCGCTGATTCTCCTTGCAGCAAGTAAACTTAAAACTCGAGTACTGTTATCTTTGTTCACTGGGTTTTGGTACATTTGAACCGAGCTGGGGTTTACCCTTACAAAGTAATATATAGGTACCTCACAGTTGGGACGGAGCAAATGTCAGGAGTTTGGAAGTATTATAAAATTGAAAGCGAAGGCAGTGTAACAGCCAGATGCAATGTTTGCAAGGCGGAGGTTCCGCGTGGTGCAGAACAGAGCTACGTTCAACACGACCAATCTAATACGCCACCTGAGAAACAAACACCAACACGACGAGTACACAGCGGCCACTCAGGTAACGGCACTGAAACAACCAACACTTTTAAAAGGAAAGAGAAACTACCCCAGAACAGTGAAAAGGCCAAAAAAATAACAGCCAAGATAGCTGAATTCATCGCGTTAGATGACCAGCCGTTATCTGTGGTGGAGAACGTGGGGTTTCCCCGTCTCATGGAGCCACGTTATGAGTTGCCTTCTAGTCACTACGTTACAGAGAAAGCTCTGCCTGCCCTTCACAACAAGCTTCGTGGCCACCTGCAAGCCCTGTTAACAGAGGTGCCTGCTTTCGGATTTACCACAGACATATGGAGTTCTTCTGTGT